AACATTCAGCAACAAAATCCTCAAGTTTCAAAGTCCCCAATATTCTTAGATTCTCAAATTCACAAAATCTCCAATTTTCAAATTCACAAAATTCAAAAGCAGGTTAAAAGACAGTCTACAAACAAAAAAAAAATGAAAATATAATTCAATGCAATCCAAAAATAATATTAAAAATTCCATTTTCTTTTCTCACACACAAATCACATTCCACAGTTTCACTTAGTCACTTAATACCTTTCTTCTAAGTTCTACACATTATTAATCACTTAGTCACTTAATACCTTTCTTCTAAGTTCTACGCATTATTAACAACTTATTCTTCTACTTTCTTCTCTCACAAAGTCACAGTCATAATAACTAATAAGTTAATAACTCATAAGCTAACATACAAAAAAAAAAGGGCTATCGAACTTACCAGTTACCATTGTAGTTAGAGACGGAGACAATGGCGGTCTGGCGAAGACGGAGAGGCCAACGTCAGGGCTCGCCGGTGGCAGCAGCAGTCACAGCGTCCGGTTGTTCATTAGGTTCGCAATCGCAGCCTCACTCGCGGGGAAGAACAAGGGTTTGCAAATTGTAAATGAAATCGGTGTTTTCAATTGAATTGTCAACTAATGGTGGGTTCATAATTGAGAGTTGAGCCTCATTTAATTTTAAAAATAAGAGGCCCAAAAAAGGCCCAAACCATCAAAGCAATTTTTCATCTTCCTCCCACTTTTCCACCGACTGTCACTGTAAATTCCACCTAGCGGTCCGGTAACCACTGAAAGCTTCCGACGGATCCAGCACGAACGACCGCTGGGACTGGTCAGGTGTTGGGTCTGCCCCTGGTTAAATCCAATCCAATAGGCCATGGGGACAAAAAATTACAAGATTATTGAACTGCAAGCACAAGAAATCAAGAGCACCCCACCACCCGCTCCACCCAACCCCAAAAAGAAAAATTAAAAAGAAAACGAACGAACCAAACAAATCATTCCAGCCTTTAGACAGTCTAATCCAAACATTGTCTCCATGTCTAACAACATTATTCTTGGAACTATCCAAATCTCACGTCCGTGTAGGCCTAGGAAAAGTCCACTTCATTTCTCACCCCAAGTAACACCAATAGCTCATGCACTCAAGAGATCATCAACATAACTACAAAATGCAAGTTTACAATTGATGTCGTAGTTAAAACTTAAACACGACTTTACTAATGAAGCATGGAATTTTCGTACCCCCTACGGTCATTCTACTTTATTTCACCACACGTGAAATCTTCCCTTTGTACGCCGAAAACCCCTCCTCTGTTTTCCCTTTCAACATAGATAAATACGTACAAATCTGCGTCTATCTGTATGTATTTTGATTTTCAAACACGCGCCCGGAATTATAGATCCCTGTATCTATACGGTACTGTAAAGAATTCACACAGTATAATAATTGAATCCAAACTATACGGTTGAACAAAATCCACCCAATCTATGGAAAATCCCTGATATAGAAAAGGGAAATTCTTCGCAACCCTTCCAAATCCCTCATATTTATATATTTATATAGTATATAGGTAATATATAAGAGAGGTTCTATATTTATATGTAGATGGGGGCGGTAACGTCGTCTATGGCGGCGAAGTTTGCGTTCTTTCCGCCGAATCCGCCGTCCTACGGGGTGGTGGCGGAGGAGGGGACGGGCAAAGTAAGGATGACTGGGGTGGCGGAGAAGGATAACGTTGATGTTTTGAAAGTGAAGACGAAGAGGGGGAACGAGATCGTTGCTTTGTACGTTAAGAATCCAATGGCGAAGCTGACGCTGCTATACTCCCACGGCAACGCTGCCGATCTGGGTCAGATGTATGATCTTTTCAGGGAGCTCAGCATTCACCTCCGAGTCAACATGATGGGGTACTGAAATTCCTACACATTTTGGAAAATTATGTATCAATAATTTGTTTGTTTGTATATTTGTATTGGTTCAGTGTATTAGGGTCGACAATGGTTCAATTTTTTTAATTAGAAAGTTGTTTGTATAATGACTGTGCTAATGTTTTTCGACTATTCATCTTTATATTGAGGAATCTTGTGGTAAGTATAGCTGTTGATTGAGAGTTAAGAATTTGTTTCTTGAAGTGGAAAGAGTATTTATAGTTATTTAATTGATGAAATTAACTGATCAATTATCTATCCCACCTGTTATGGAATCTTTGTAGATAAATTGGTTGCGGAAACTTAAATTTCACAAGACGCTATTTTTGCCCAGCTTTTTTTATCATTGTCCTTTGCTTATAGGAAATTGTCGTTTTGACACCAAACCAATCACAGAATAGGGGAAAAGAGAGGCAATTGAAATCTGCATTCTCGTTGCTGATTTCCTAATTAGCTATCATTTTTGGCAGGTATGACTACTCAGGCTATGGACAGTCAACCGGAAAGGTATGAGAGTTGGAATTGGTGGATTTGTTTTATAGGAATTTTACAATGAAAATGCTAAATTTTGTATTTATCATTCTTTTGATAGCCAAGTGAACAGAACACTTATGCGGATATAGAAGCTGTATATAACTGTCTTCAAGAGACTTATGGAGTGAAAGAAGAAGATATAATTTTATATGGGCAATCTGTTGGAAGCGGGCCCACTTTGGATTTGGCATCTCGTTTGTCTAGATTAAGGGCTGTGGTCCTTCACAGTCCAATAATGTCTGGCCTTCGAGTAATGTATCCAGTTAAGAAGACATACTGGTTTGACATTTATAAGGTAAAATTATTTTAATGCAATCAGCACAAGATTGATCTTTAACTTTCACATAATATTTTTTGGGCTAAATGTTCATTTAACCACTTATTACTTTCCTTGAGATGCAGAATATAGACAAAATCCCATTGGTTCAATGTCCTGTCTTAGTTATTCATGTGAGTTTTATGTCATACTTTCTGGAATAAATTACAGTTTTGTATATTTTTGCTTGATAGTAATTGCTCAAATACAATTTTCAGTATGTATTCTCATCAGTATAAGTGCTATCAATTCTGAGGCTACTCATGTTCAACAGAAGATGCTGAATCTAATTTATTTGAGAAGTATCTTTTTTTCTGTTTGAAGACCAACATTTTGGAGGTGATGGGCAAAGCCCTTGCTGGAGTGGAATGAGCACTGAAAAGGCGTTAAGAGTGTTTTAACTAATAAAAAGCATTAATTTGTCAAAACTTCCTTTTGGATAAGTCTCCTACGAAAGAATGAAACTCCCCACGTGATAGCCACTTCTTTGTCCATTTTTCTCTTTAGCAGTTATTTTCTTATATCAGGTCTTATGGATTTGAAGATTGTTTTTTGAGGTGCCTATGAATGTATGAAAACAGAATGATTCATCTGTTTATCTTCTAGTGTCACTATTCTTAAGAGAGACAACCACCGGCGTAGAAATCACGGGGAATGGAGAAGCATTAGTTCCCTGTTCTTGTTGTAGTACCAAAAAGATTTTTCACCCCATTCCCCCATCTTGCTCAAATTTTTAATATATTATATTTGTTACTGTTTTTTGGTATCCTAGCTGCCATGATAGAGTCAGTTTGAAGAGGACCTATAGATTATATTCTCTTACCGCACAGGTTGGAACATTTTTCAACCGTTGTTTCAATCCCCTTTATCCTTACACCACAAAATTTATGTTGTTAATTTGTTATGCATTGGGATGCTTATTGGCTTAGGCTTTGATGCATTATTCATGTAAAAATGTCAAAAAGTATCATGTCTTTCCCTTATTATTACATAGAGAACCAGTGAGGTTGGAGGACAGCAGGAGGCTGTCCAGGGAGTGCAAAAAAAATCCTCTTCCATATCTTTAAAATATCTACAACTTCACCTTTTTTGGCAAGTCATTTGATATTTCCGCATATAAGAAAATTTGGCCTCGTCTTTTTTGACACAGCTGAGATGTCAGAAGCTAAAATATGGTAGTTGATACTCATTGAAATAATCTTTGCATTTATTGTGTATCCATTTGTTCCCACTACCCAAGTTGGTGCATTTTTGTGACAAAATCACAGAGATAGTACTACAATAATTTCCTTGAACCTGATTATAAAGTAAATTTAAGCCCTAGTTCAATTCATACCTGATTGCACCTCACCAAGGTTGATAATCATTCTTGTCATCATAAACATGTTATTTTAATATAGGGAGTGCTACACAAAGCACTTGAAGCGCAGATGATGGCACTGTGATAAATCTTTGCTTCTATTTATTTGCAGTATAACTATACTAAAGGATCCTTTTATACTGGCTAAATCAATTTCTATTAAAAAATTCAGTAATAAAATGAAGTAATTGTGCTAAAATGCCAAAATCCTAGAATAAAAATGCCTCCAGATAGAAATTTGAACGTGTTCTTGCAGAATTTGCGTGTAGAAAAGTTCTTCCCTGCTTCCTTATGCATAATCCTTTTCTTTTTCCGTAATTTACAGGGTACTGCAGATGACGTTGTAGATTGCTCCCACGGGAAGCAGCTCTGGGAGCTGTGCAAAGAGAAGTACGAGCCCTTATGGGTTAAAGGTGGCAATCATTGTGACCTGGAACTTTACCCAGAATATATTAAGCATTTAAAGAAGTTCATAAAAGCTATTGAAAAATCAGCACATTTGAAAAATGGATCTATGCCATCTACAAATCAGACAGAAAATGTGCGGAACAGCCTAGATTGCCGACCTAGAGAAAGCGCAGATCAGAGAGAAAAGTCTAGATCGAGCACTGATCAAAGAGAAAAGCCTAGAGCAAGCATGGATCGAAGAGAGAAATCTAGAACCAGCATTGATAGGAGAGAAAAATTGAGAAAGAGTGTGGATTATGCTGAGAAAGCAAATAACAATGCTGAACAGCCAGAGAAAGCAAGGAACAGTGTAGATCGGTTGGTCTCAACTTGAATAACTAAGAGTTTTTTCTCGTGTATACATGCTTTCTACTATTTCTGTATTTCATCATGCCATTAGTAATATTGACTATTGGAATTGGGTGATGGCAGCTTTGGAGATATGATGAGATCTGCTGTTTTGCGCAATATTGACTGTTTCAAGCCTGTGGGAGCAAAGGTCTGAGGATGGATCAAAGGAAATCCTAATGGCTAATTTTTTTTGTTTTCAGTCATTTGTTGCTGCATTTCACTTATAATTTAATACTGCGTGTGCTTTTGCTGATGATCTTACTCTTCCTCTTTTTTGCCTGCACGCTTATCTTCATGTTAATGCAAAACTCGTATTGATCAATAATGGGTTTTTTTTTTTTTTACAGTTACGTTGAACGCATTCTTGCATCCCCAATTCATGGTTGCTAAGTTCGCATCCATGCTGCACCTGCTGAAATAATCATCTTCGCAAGAAGGGTCAAAAATGTAATTATGAATTTTGATTTGGTTCATGCCTCCATGGCATCGTCCATAGCTCAGCTTGCCAGAATCTCTCGTACTGCTTTCTACAGGAGCAGCAACACGTTGCTTCAAACCTTAGACAAATCTCAGAATCATCACACATTCTTTTAAGATTCTCAAATTTGTGAAGGAGCCAGTTCGGCATACAGATTTGGGTTTCTAAGGTGATTATTGTCTCGACCTCCCGCCCCTTCTCCCCAGAGAGCAGTTTTTGCTTTTGGACGATCAACTTATAATATTTTCAATTCATCATCTGGCACGACCATTTATCGCATCGTTTAGGGTGCATAGTATTGCAATTTGTGTCCTGACTGTTGATGTCCTAATATTTACCATTTTGGCGGAAAATATACTCGTCCATGAAGCAGCATCTTTCAACATTGTTTCTTGCTTTGCACACGTGTATAAATGTACTGATGACGTACAAAAATACTGAGGAAATGGTTAAAAAAATAATAATAATAAATTAGACGTCTAACGTTTAAATTTTGTTAGATCGCTAAAAAATATACACCTGCTACATTATGATTTTTAATGGGGATAAATAGCATTTTATATGTTAATGTTTCGTTAATTAATGAAATTTGAAGATTTTAATACGATAAAAAAATGGGTCATAAACGTGACAAAAGACCGGAAATTTTTAGTGTAATTAATATGTAATTAAACAAAAGAAAACGGTCAGGACAATATGCCCATAAAGATATGTAGCCAAATTAATGTTTATGGAGCCTCTTCTGAGCTCATTTATTGAAATTTATTTTTTTTCTCAAATTCATTTTCTTTCACGTTTTTTCAATAAATAATTTTGTATTTAAAATTCAAAACTTTCCTCGCTTTTTAATCACAAATCTTCCAAAAAATACTTTTTTACCAAATATATTCTATAAATGGAGCTCAAACAGTGATGAAATATTGTGAGTGGAAAAGGTTGCAACGATTTTTTCCTTCCCCTTCTTTTCTTTTTATATTTTTTTTAATTTGAATGATCAGTGTGTCCTAAGTGCCTCATAAGTAACACTTTATTAAAGACTAGTAAGACACATGTACAATGCACGTGCATAGTGTAATAGAGTAAATATAAAAAAAAAATTGTTTTAAGCATTAGTTACATTAAACTTGAAATATTTGAAATGATGATAGATGACAAAAATAATATTAAGAGATTTGATTCAAAACTTATTTTCTAGACTTTGCGTTTGAAAGTCTTTTTGTTTTTTTTAAAAAAAAAACAAGACATAGATGATTAGGTGTTGATACGCCGTTAAAGAGATAATGAAGTTCAACATAACCCTCATTTTTCTACCTATTAAGGTAAGACATTATGTCTCATTCATCTCGTACTCATAGAATCTCCAATTACATGTATCAGTTGCACCGATATTTAATTTCTTTATCAAGACCATATGCAAGACATATGCAGTTAAGACTAATTAATTAATAATACTACAGTGCAGAATTTAGGTCTCTATCGGTATTAAAACTACAACACAACGAAAACTTCCATCATAGAGGCAAAAAGAATGATAAACGATCACCTAACTTCATAAATTCCGTCGAATATCTTTTCAGCATATTCTAATGATATTGTACATTAAATTCATTTAAAAAAAA